GGAAAGTACCTAAACTCTCTAACTCTTCCAAATTTAACACTCTAGGCCAACCGCCACAAACCACTACTTTTCTCGCTCCGTACCCCTACTTTTTTCTTTCTTCGTTCGCTCTCAGTTCCGCAACCACCAAAACCCACACCCCAAACCCACCAAGGCTCTTGCAGGCTACCAGCAAAGACAAAAAACTATGGCTATATTAAATGGCTATGTCTGCGTCAAACATCACGTCACGGGCTCCGGAGGAGCTTTCACAATTAGCTCGGACCGAAGGATGATGATTGATAACTGTGGATGATGGCTTACTTAAAATATTTTGCAGGCATATAGGAGCCTGGATTCCATTCATAACTAAATCATCATACTATTTAATTTTTCATATTGAAATAAAAGATGTTCTAATGTGCCCTGGGATTCACACAGGCATCGGACTCTCCCCAATTTAAACAAATGCTGAGGCACCAAACAATGCCCTGTTCTCATGCGAATGATAGTAGTGATGTGTCTTCTATCTTTATAAGATAGTTTAAAGAACCATGGCTTCGAGGGGAATAATAAAGACTTGTCCAGGTATTTTCGACCTTTTCCTGCAAAAGTTGGCCTCCAGATGTTATTCCATTCCAAACCAAAGTATATATTTAATTTCAGAAAAAAAATCATCGATGTCCAACTGGACATCTATGATTTGTTTTTTTCGTCTCTCTGACTGATGAGCTTATTCTTACATTGATCGTATTCCGTGTTGGATTCATGCCGGGTCAATAAAAAAAAAGAACCAACAGATACAATAGACTCGAAATATTTTTAATTTAATATAAAAAAGGTTTTTCAAAATTAAACGATTTCGTATTTTTTAACATCGCATTAAACTCTGTTTAGCGAAAGGTAACAACAACATTTGACGTTCACACCTACCGCCCACAGCATTTTCCACCACTCAAAACTAAAATGGCTAATTATTACTTCAAAATTTTATTCGCTTTAATAACATCAATCGTCATTGCTCTTACAGTTTGAATATCTCTTTTAAATTCAATTAAATTTTACACATTATGACTTCAGCAAACAATGCCATTTCTAGAATTTCCAGTAAAAACGCCGTCTGATTTCGAACTAACATTACAAAAATGAAAAATCCCCATTCCCAAGGATTATGCCAAATTTAAATTTAATGTCGAAAATAATCAAGAGAAGATTCGACTAATTAAAACGCAAATGGGAATTACAAAGTTGATTCCCGAGAACTGACTTTGCAGACCGAAATATCTCCGAGGATCTGGGCGAAACTACGACTCCAATCTTCTTAAGTTTAATCTCCAGATTTATAATTATATTCATGTTCCATTTCCGTCGAAGCTCGGAAATGTGTGACTTGGCTACCAGGGGCGAAGTCTTGTCTTGTTCAGTATTTTTAATCTAGTCGCTATGGATTTTCAGAGGAAATGAGAACTGATATTACACGCTAATTGACTAGCGCATTTTAGAGCAAAACAAAGTGATTTAGAACATTTTCGTCGCTTTCATGTACGGAATCATTGAAATAATTATACGCATTAGATATAATAAATCATTTATTCACCACACTCATAAACATAACTTGTTAATCTACAGACTAATACCCTGAAAACAACCTGAAATAGCATTGAAGTATGAATTTTAATAACTTTAAAACAAGGGAAGTTGTTGGACTAGGTTTTCTATTTCTCAATTCGGGCGAAGTCAAGTTTTCTAGATTAAAGGTATACAGGCTGTCTCAGGGTCAGCGTCCGTTAGAATATTTCGGGAACTAAAGCTATTTGTATCCTGCAAATTTGGCTAATGGGATTTTCGGAGACGATCTTTTCAGATGAAGTTACAGCGACATTATAGAACTTCCGTTATACGGTTATACGGGAGGTGGTCTTAAACTTACTTATTTTAAATGAAACACCCTGTTCAATGGTTTTTTGTGTCACTGTCTTCATTTCTAATAAATTTGATTAAATTATCTACGGTTTTGTTTCAATAACGTTTTTTTACAAATTGCCGCGATGAACAGCAATCAAATGAAATACGTAATAATAAATTTAATCACAATTTATTTTAATATAAATTTTCAATATGACCCTGCAACACGACAAATTTCGGACGGAACAAAAGAATAAAAATCAACCTTTAATGAAAACTATTTAATTAAGGCAACGATTTAAATGACAATTTAATAAAGAGAGAGAGAGAGAGAAAGGGTTTCCCTTGAGTGGGTATTTCGGGCGGTCGTGTGCAAAGCCCAAAGAGTGAGTTTGTTTGAGCGCCACTAGCTTTCGCAGCAAAGCTAGAACACTCAGCGATGGAATGCTGCCGAAATACCTACTCAGTTCTTTTACCGTGATAGTACATAAACTGACTTGAATGATGATACAAAAAAAGGAAAATGGTGAGCTTAATAAAGAAAAAGAAAACGTGGTTTGACGATCACAAACTACCGTCTGCTAACCGCTTGATCTGTAACCTACGTTAACTGATTAATGAAATGAAAATTTCAAAAAAATACAAATCGATAATACACAGCCAATAGCAATACTCGCCCCAAACGGACCCCCAACAAAAGTCTCTGAAATCGCCGCCACGTGCTGCCGATGCCTACGTGCTAGGTCCAGATCTCATCCAGACCGCCCCTGGCTATCCAGTCCACAATTTCACTGAGTCAATATCCCCAGTCGGGAACCAGGAGGCGGCTGATGTCCCCAAACGGATGGTCAAGTAGCGGGCAGATCTACCACACAGCAGAATATGGCGAATTCGGAGCTCAAGGTGAAGGAATATGTTCGGCAATCTCTGGTACTTGATTACCCTTCGCTCGGTGACTCTGCTGGGTCCACTCCTCGTCCCTTCTTATCAATGACGGTGGTCCGTGAAGGTGAGGCAACCACCACGATGCCAGACAAACCCATGATAAAGACTGCTGATGTTTGGGAGAGAGATACAAATATCCAAACATCGAAATTCAAATAATCCCCAAAATATTACTAACCTAATCTGACAAACGTGCTTACTAAAAAAAATAGCTTATTACTATTATAACTTATTCCTACACACATTTGAACAACAGGGGTTAGCAGACAGGGAACCATTGACTAAATTCCATTTTTAACCGTTACAACCCCCATTGACTCTTAAACACTTTTGAATGTTAGAAATAACGGCTTCTGTAGTAGCATTTGCTATTTCAGCTGGATCAAGTGAGCCAAATGTTCTTCTTAGGGCTACTAATTATCTCGCTGAATCGACGGGAGTACAGTAAATTATTTGCTTTATTGTTTTTCAAAGGTAGAAATCTAATGGTATTAGGTCTAGACTCTTTGGTGACCAATTCGAGGGTGCTAGGCGTCGAATCCATATATCTTCAAACATCTCATACAATTTCTGGTCTACCAAATGCATTTCCACAATATGACAGAACACCGTCTAGTTGCTACCAACGATATATTTTATCCATAGGCAGGTTATCAACAAAGTTTGTCACAATAGTTTGCAAACTGGCCAAGTATCTTTCGCTATTCAATACTTCTTCTTATTTATCTTTGGCACAGCTGCAGGGTTATTTGCCAGCACATTCGGGGGGGCTATTCCCACTAATGGGCTAATACTTTACGTATCGAATGGAACGTTTACAGTCCACTAACCGAAAATCAAACAATCGCACAAACATTTTGGTCCTTCGAGAGGATATCAAACACCGCACTTGATCATGCATAATTAACACAAATACATTTACAATCAAACAAGTTTCTGTACTCACAAAACAGCACAGAACGGACTGGTACTTGGACTTGGTACTTTAGAAAACCGAAAATAACATACAACAATTTAGTAGCTGCCTATAAAACATATTTAATGCTACATACAGACACATTCATATCATGTATTTATCTGCTCTTCAGGTTACTTGGTATCAAGACTCGTTTCAGCTGCAGCCGACAGACAGGCGCTTGATGTTGCATAATGGTCAAACACACTCTCTGATCATCAAGAACGTTCAAATGTCCGATTTTGGAAATTATAGCTGCTTGGTCACAAATTCAATTGGTCGAGATAAAAGGTTAACATTAACATTAACTATTTTGAGTTGTTCAGTTTGACATCAGCAGCTTGATTAATCTAATATTTTGAATTTTGTATTCAGATATATCGAACTATCTGGAAAGCCTGGACCCGCTAAAATAATTAGTTCACAGTATTCAAATCCTCATGAATATGATCTGAAATGGACAGTTCAATCAGTCTTTCCCATCATCGAAGTTCGAGTGTTGTTCAAGAAAATCATGGTAAGAAAATTTGTGATAATTAACCACATACTAGGTTTGATTTTTCAACTGTAGTGCAATTTGCATGCCTTTATACCAGAAGTGTTGATTGTCTTTACTTTAGAGTATTCGTTGCTAATGTAGTACCTAGGTATGTAATGGTTGGGTGTAAATGCTGTTTTCCTGTTTAATTTACTTTCTCAATTTTCTTCAACAAATCGGGCAAAGACATCTATATATTTTATTACGTTTTATACCATGAGTTCAAACGTATTTTAATTACATGAATAAAATGAAACTTAAATCCATGTATTAATTGCGTAGAGACGAAAGGAAGCAAATTATAAAACCTACTCACAAATCATATGATGTTTTTGTCTGCCCTACAGATACTGATTCTTTGTGAGAGATTGTTTAATTTTTTTTGCTTGCTATTCAATGTCGCCTAAAGCATATGTGTTTACGAATAAACTGAAATAAAAAGATGTTAGTGAATTTGAATAGATTTAATTTATTTTTCGGTCAATATAATATCTAAGACTAAATCTAAATCTATGCGAGCACAGTGTACTTAATGGTCTTGTAGGGAATGTGTGATTTTTTATAGAATTTTTATGAATGCCCACTGCCAAACGAAACGAAAACGAAATGAAACGAACACCACTTGGATACCATAAAGTGGGCGATAGAAAGGAATGAGGAAATCTCCTGTTACAGTTTCTGCTCCACCACCAACTGACAGCCAATAACATATTCTCTAAAAAGGGGTCCATCCTAGGACTAAAAACCAGATCAATTTTATCTTGTTCATCTTGCATCTGTATTAATCCACTCCTGGCCATAGCCCTCTTCCATTTCCTTCCATGTTGACCTGTTTTGTGCAGGGAGCATCCAGTTATTTCCCGCTAGTTCGTCTCGCCATCTTAGCATGGGTCTGCCTCTGCTTCTCTTTGTTCTCCGTGGTCTCCACTGCATAACGGTCTTCGTCCATTTCTTATCATTTCGCACAACGAGTCTTGCCCAACGCCACTTGTTTTTTGTAGTTTGTTCTATGACGTCACTCACTTTGGTTCTTGTCCTGATATCTTCGTTTCTTTGCCTATTTTTTAAGGTAATTCTCAGCATCGCACGCTCCATCGCACGTTGGCAAACCCGTAGTATTTGTGCACTTTTCTTGCAGTTCGTGCAGTTATCGTATATTTTCCGCTTCAGATTAATTGGGATCTTCGGTTCTTTAAGGATATATGCGAGTTTTCTAAATGCTGCCCATGCCAAACTGATTCTCCTCCTTATCTCGGCTGTCTGGTCAGATATACATATACAGGGTTGCTCATTAGTGCGTCAAAGTGCGATATCTCAGTAAATATGAAGTTTACAAGAAAATTCGTCCAACGAAAGTTTTTCA